CCTGGTTGTAGTATAGGAACTTGTTAAGTCACAGCAGACTTCAAAGATTAACTCACACCGAATTAAATATTTCAGGAGTCACAGAACCTAATATTAGCTGGTACTGTTCCTGAGGCATCCACATTAAATCACTCCGGAGGCACACTATGAACTGACAAAGATGCTTGTTCAGACCACCTATAGTTGTTCTTATGCTCTTAAAATGTTTGAATTAAATTGATTCTGAAAATGGGACCTAGACTTTGAATTTAGCTGGTTTTGATTTAGGTGTCATTTAGGTGCTTTCGACAAAGTTGTATTTAGCACTTTTCAAAAGCTTCAAGGACACACAAATGTCCTTGTACCCACAAAACGCTGCTGAAGAGGAGTGGATGTGAGCATATACATTCCTGGTTATATGTACTTTCAAATATATTTCTCAGCTCTTTAGCTATATCACAGCTATGTAGGACAAACTGTCTTGGAAATTAGATCCTAAGTGAACAACTGTCCTGAAGGAATGCCCAGAGCAGAATGCTGAGGACAATGTTACTCTAAATCAAAAACAACAGCAAGAATTGTCTAGGATCTTAAACCAGTTCAGAGAAAGTGTGGTAGCAGCCTTGGTCTTAATACAGTTATTTTCCTATCCACCAACATTTTTTTTTCTAAGTTTTATTTCTGCATTCTATTTTTGGTCCTGAATACACTGCTCTATTGCTGATTTTAAACAATTTAATTCTGAATGTGAGTTAAGATCTCTGATATCAAGCACCTACACAAACACCTTTGTGCCTTATTTGTTTTTCATTTCAAATCAGGTACCTAACTACAGTGCTTGTAGAATTGCAGAGCACTTGAATTTTAATTATATCAAGTTCAGGCAAAAATGACTATAAATGCCTCAAAGAAAAATAGTAGATTCTAAGTGCAAGTGAAAAGATGCTGAGATTTACATAATGGATTTAGTCAGACACCCCTACTGTTTTACAGAGGGAAAAGTGCATGTGCACAATAAATAAATTACAATCTGCCATCAGTAGGTTGCATCTAATTGCATAGGTGGCTCCATTTTTCCCCTTATGATTTAGGTGGGGTAACATGTTGGAAAGCACATATTTTTTCATTATCCTATTTAATTGGTTTGAGATGACAGAGTTTTTTTATTCCTTCTACCAAGTCACTTATATTTAAACCAGATCTTTTGTGTGTTTACATGCAAGATCTCAAAATATTGAAAAAAAATTATTATTGTCTGTGGCTCAGATAGAACATGACCAATATCTTATTCTTTCACATACTCTGCCTTCAGGCTGCCTTGCTACATGTGCTTTTCATAGTGTCCACCTCCTAAATGCACTCACTTCAGGAAAGAGCTGGCTAAAGCACCTCCTTCCACCTCCATGAGGGTACTTTGATCTGTCTTTCAACAATTCATTTCCAAAATTATTTTCTTGAAATGCTGTTCAAGTTCAGCGAATCTTATTTTAATACAGCAAAGTAAAATTTACAAATTGTTACATGATTAAATCAATTTTTATGGAGACTGAATCTGTCTTTAAAAAGTAAGTGTATAGAAAATGGAGAGTTTTTGATTAATTTAATTCATTTGGCTTCAATTTTTCTTTATTCTCTTGCTTCATACATTTTCCTGTGTTTTCTTGGATGTTTTTAAATTTTAAAAATGGTAAGATTGCCTTAAATATGGTCAAAATGGGGAAAACCAAGAAATGGAACAGTAATGAAAGTTTCCAGATAAATTATCCTTTTTTGTTGTTGTTTGTTTGTTTGTTTGTATTTTAAATTAAGAACCTTTAGAAATAGCCTTTCCTGTCAAAATTTTTAACTTTTTAATTTTGGCTAGCTTTCTTCTTTTGTCTATTCAGTGCATGTATGCTCTGGAGTAAAGGAGAAAATCTAATATAGGTGTTATGTATTCATTTGCAAAACAAAACTAAAGCAGATTAAGGATTGGCTTATAGAATTCTGAATTGGTTTTGCACAGCCAGGTTTTGGTAGCAGGGGAGCTACAGGGATGGCTTCTGTGAGAAGCTGCCAGAAGCTTCCTCCATGTCCAGCAGTGCCAATGCCAGCCAGCTCCAGGATGGACATGCTGCCGGCCAAGGCTGGGCCCATCAGAAATGGTGGTGACTCCTCTGGGATAACAGATTTTACAGGAGGCAAAAAAAGTCACTGCACAGTTGTAATTGAGGCCAGAGAAGAGCAGAGTGAGGATATGTGGGAGGAACAGCCCTGCAGACACCAAGGTCAGTGCAGAAGGAGGGGCAGGAGGTGCTCCAGGCACCAGAGCTGGGATTTCTCTGCAGCCCACAGTGCAGACCATGGTGAGTCAGGCTGTGCCCCTGCAGCCCATGGAGCTCCACAGCGATGCAGAAATCCACCTGCAGCCCACGGAGGAGATCCATGCTGGGGCAGGTGGATGCCTGAGAGGAGGCTGTGACCCCATGGGAGGCCTGTGCTGGAGCAGGCTCCTGGTAGGGACCTGCAGACCCATGGAGAGAGGTGCCCACGCTGGAGCAGGTTTCTGGTAGGACTTGTGATCCCATGGGGGACCCACAGTGAAACAGCCTGTCCTGGAAGGACTGCACCCTGTGGAAGAGCGACCCATGTTACTGCAGTTTGAGGAGGACTGTTGCCTGTGGGATGGGCTCCCATTGGAGAAATTCATGGAGGACTGTCTGCTGTGGGAGGCACCCCATACTGGTGCAAGGAAAGGACTCCTTTCCCTAAGCAGTGGAAATAACAATGCATGATGAACTGACCATAATCCCCATTCTGTTTCTCCCTGCGGCACTGGGGGAGGAGGAGAGAAGGGGGGAAGAGTGCAGAGAAGGTCTTACTTTACTTCTCATTATCCTGCTCTGATTTTCTTAACAACAAATTCAATTAATATCTCTAATTCGAGCCTGTTTTGCCATGACAGTATTTGATGAGTGATCTCTCCTGGTCCTTATCTCATCTCATGAACCCTTTGTTATATTTTCTCTTCACTGCCCAGCTGTGGGGGGGAGGGAGAAGTGGCTTTGGTGGGTGTCTGGCATTCAGCCAGCGTGAACCCACTACAAGGTCACAGACAGGATACATTATGGTCTTGATTTTGCCAGACACTGGATGCCTGCGGCTTGCCTCGCACCGAGCGAATTTATGGCACTTGTCACATGACCTACTCTTTTATTAGCTTAGTTGCAATGGAAAAGGCAGAGGAGAAGCATCAGAAATGGAAAATGATAGCAGGAAAAGTCTGGCAGTTTGTTCCACAGGGGTGATGGGAACTGCTATTCTGAAAGGCTCTCTGAGGAGGTAATGTAGGGGAAGATAGTAAGAGCAAAGGGAAATGAAGATTTCAGAATAGAAAATAATAAAAAAAGTGCACAAACTATTTCAGGAGCAATAACTGCTCTAAGAAAAAGGTATCAACCCAGATGAATCACATCTACAAAAGGGGGGTAATTTAAAGTCATTTTATCAGACAAAGAGAAATAAGCATTTTTAGAGAGTGATTCAGTCCTTAGATAGATAGCATATCTTTCTCTCTTGTGAGACATCTCAAATCACATAATGAAATTCAGATTGAACAGAGCTGGGGCACAATGACTGGGCATTATTAGACTGGTCCTTCCAAAAGTTTCTCCCTAAACTAGGACATGGGAAGCCTGATCCCAGCGCAGGAACTCATACAAAATCCAGTAAACCCCAAAAAACTCTCTTTAGCCTCCAAAAGAACGCCAATTTTGCTACTGAAGCATTGCTCACTGCTCGGACCTTCCTCACTGCAGAGGGCTCCCTCCTGCTGCCAGGCACCTGGTACTGGCCTGCAGCCCACTCAAGCTATCACTGAAATGTTTCTGTGAGCCCCGCTATTTGTCTGAGAACCCATCCTACACTTTGTTCTGGTGCATTCTCCATGTATACCCTCTGAACGGAGCGGCGGCCTCAATGCCTTTTCAGCAATTCAGCCTGTGTGCTCTGGCTTTGTCACCTTGGGAAAGGAGCCCAATGCAGTACCAAAGAGCTGCCCTTCCCATAGGAAGGAGGAGGAGGAGGAGGAGGAGGAGGTACATGTTGCAGGCTTTCCCATGTTTGCCATGTCTTTTGTGTAAGGTTGATTTTCACAGGCACATTTGCATCGGGAAGGTCCAGTCCTACAGACAAAGGTCAAATGCTTTTCAGTGGAAACTTTTCCCCAAAAGAGACTGCAGCATCAAACTTTCCTGCATGAAAAAAGACATCTTTCCTCAGGGAAATATTCTGCACACAGAAGTAAGATATTTTTGCCCTTCGCACTATAAAGCAACTAAAGACATGCCGCCTCCAACACGAGGCCACAAAAGAGGCTGCTTTTTTTAGTCCCAGATTTTTGAGATCACGGTGCTTTACGTTAGGAAATTCGGTCACAAGAGAGGATTGCTTAGAAAACCACCGTTTGATGAACAATATCTCGCTGTTGTCACGACCTCGACACCGGACGCTTGGTCCGACTCCCGCGGGACGCTCCGTGGGGGCGCACGCGTGGCCCCACTGGCCCCGCATCCCCCCGGCCACCGCCCCGCACCGGGCCACCACCACCACCACCACCATCTTCTTCCGCGCAGCCCCGGCGCTGCAGGCGCGTCCGGCTCCGCCGCCGGGACCGCCGCGCCCCGCGGGCTGCGCTGCGCGGTGCGGGGCGCGGTGCGGGGAGCGGCGGAGCGGAGCAGGGAGTGGTGCGGGGAGCGGCGGAGCGCCCGGCCCGCGCTGCCTCCGCGGCCGGGGGCGCAGCGCGGCGGGAGCGCGCCCGAACGGGAGCGGGAGCGGGTGCGGGCCCGAGCGGGGGCGCGCACAAGGCGGGGCCGCGCAGCGGGCAGCCCCGCGCCGGCTGGTGCCGTCTGCGAGCGGGGCGGGGAGCGGAGGAGGCGCGGGAGGGGGGCACGGGCATCCTCCAGGCCGAGGCTCCGTGCGGCTCTCCGGGCTCCGCGCCGGCGAGCGGGAGGCGCGCTTCGGCAGCAGTACCGGCGAAGTACCTGCGGATCGGCTTTCCTCTTCCTCGCTGGCTTCTTTCAGTTTGGTGGTGGTGGAGATTTTTTTTTTTTTTTTTTTCCTTCACAACCCTCCCTCAAATCCAGGGAGACGCTTCTGAAGCGGGGTGAGCGCTGATCTTACGTAAATGGTGCTGCTCCGGGGAGGGCATCTCCCCTGCCAGCCCCGGGCCAGGGGAGCATCCTCGGGGGCCGCTCGCCCTGCCTAGCGACTGGGCTTCTCGCTGCCGCCCTGCCCGAGATCCGCACCGGCAGCGGCACCGGCGGGGGCGGGCGCTGAGCAGCAGCCGGCAGCCCGCAGCCCCGCTCCCGGCGGGTTTCGGCGCCTCCGCGGACCGGCTGCGGGGATGATGCGGCGCGTTGGACCCCGCGGCGGGGAGGGCGCTATGTCAGAGAGATAACGCGCCTCCGCCAGCAGCCCGGGGGCAGTGTCGCTGCCAGCCCCCCCCGGGACCCGGCTGCCTGGGAGCCGCTCGCAGCTCGGCGGACGGACTGGCCGCGGCGGCGGGGCCGGGGAGCGGCGGGGCGAGGCCCGGCGCGGCGGGGGAGCGGCTGCCGGCCGTGCCGGGGCACCCCGCCTCCGGGAGGCAAGCGGCCGGGAGGCTGAGGAGCGCAGGCAGCAGAGCCGGGGAGGAGGAGGAGGGCAGCGCCATGACTCATTTGCAGGCAGGTCTCTCCCCGGAGACTCTGGAGAAAGCCCGGCTGGAGCTGAACGAGAACCCCGACACCTTGCACCAGGACATCCAGGAGGTGCGGGACATGGTCATCACCCGGCCGGACATCGGCTTCCTCCGCACCGACGATGCCTTCATCCTGCGGTTTCTGCGGGCCAGGAAGTTTCAGCACTTCGAGGCGTTTCGCCTCCTGGCCCAATACTTTGAATATCGCCAGCAGAACCTGGACATGTTTAAGAGCTTCAAGGCCACAGACCCGGGCATCAAGCAAGCGCTGAAGGATGGTTTCCCCGGCGGACTGGCCAACCTGGACCACTACGGCAGGAAGATCCTCGTCCTTTTTGCTGCCAACTGGGACCAGAGCAGGTAAAAGCAGAGCCACTCGCCCACCTCAACCCCTTCTCTCCCCGGGCAATGCTTGGGAAAGCGGTGCCAGCGCAGAGGGAGAGAGGGTGGGCAGCAGGGACACAACCGGTGCTGCCCACAGGGGGCTGGGCAGCAGCCTGGAAGGCAGAGGGAGAGAATAAAGGAGAAACACGATTTCTGGCTTAGGGCCCTTTCAAGCAGCTCATCCTTTGGTGTGTGAATTTTGGGAGGCAGGTAGACACTGCTGGAGTGCTCTTCTCAACTGTCTGCTAGGAGGTTTACACCCTTCTGCCTCCCCTCAGCCGAAGTGAGCTGGCACGTAGATGATGTGCTTATCCCCCAGACAAAGGCTGCTTGCACTCTCGGCTGGTCTTCCTGTTTCAGCACACACAGAGCTGCTCAGGCGCCATGGGAGAAAGTGGGAGATGCTGTGTGTAGAACAGGAGTATGGCTTTTAAGCTGAAAAGTTTGCCTGTGCAGGAAGCTGAGACTCTGAATCCTTTTCCTCAGCTGAAGAAAGCTCTTCCTGAGCCACCTAGAAATGCCAGGATGGAAGTTTCTGTAACCACTTCTTTTTCCACTCTTGCTGCTCCCAATGTCAATTCTCTGCATAATAATCCGAGTACACAAAGCTTTGACAACGAATTGGAGACTGGTCTCTAGAACACTTTCTGATCTTTTTTTTGGGACTACTCTAACCTGAAGATGATTTAGTAGGGTGACCCAAGAGCTGTCTCACATCAAGGCCCTTTTTAGCAATTGGTTTGATATTATGTCACACTATTTGTTTATTCTAAATACATTGTGGGGGTGTCATGCTCAGTTTCTCCTGCAGTCTAAAATTATATCCACAAAAATGGCTTGATTTTAGTACATTTAAACTCTTAAAACCTGCTTCTGTGAGCACTGTACTGTTTTCTTCGGCTCCCAACCTGAGTAGAGGTTTAAGATCTGATTTCTCACTTTTTTAGTGAGAAAACTTAGAATCTTGTAAGTTGCCATCCTTATTGCCATCAACATAGTGCTGAGTGCTCAGTGCAGGTATCCTCAGCTCAGCTACTTTGAAACTCTGGGGGGGACTCAGGCTAACTGTCAGTGTGGATAGAAGGGACAAAATCTGGGGGAGAGGCATGTTTAAGTTTGCCCTTCAGGTGTTTGTTTAGCTGTCTTCTTGCAGGTTGTGTGGATTGTCATCACAGGGAGCATTCCCACAGCTCCCTGCCCCGGCTGGTGTTACACCTTTGGACAGGTCTCTGTCCAGAGGGATGCTGGCCCACCTTGACTTTCCTCTCCTTCAGACACGTCAGCCACACCCACACTGTCTATGGGAGAAATTTCCTGTCCCTTGCTAACCCATGACATTGAGTCTTGGGACTAGGAGAAAGCTGTCTGGCACTGCCCACAGCCAGGGTAGCGACTAGAAAGGGTGGATGAATATATGCAGAGCTGGGGCCAGTGTCTTTTTTCTGCTTTGCTTATCTAGCAGATGAAGCATAAAAGCTGAGTGAAGAGCAGTGGTGATGAGGCTAAGGGCTCAGTGAGTATGTTTCCTTTCTCTGATAAGGACCTTCCTTGTTTCCCACAAAAGGACCAGGTCAACTTTTAATTTTAAAAACGACTCCACAAACTGTTAAAAATCCCTGAAGGAAGAATTAGCAAAGAAATGCATGTTTAGGACTTTTATTAAGTTGTATGTCTATGATGAAGAAGTTCCCATGTTAAAGGTAGCGTGACCTACTGTATACTGTTGTTTCTTATTAATGGAAAAATCCTAAAGCTTTGGGGGACTCTTGTCGTATTACTTGACTTGATCCTAGTCAAAAGAATACCAAGAATTCAAGGGCAGAGATAAAGTAGCATTTAAAATAATAAATGCCATGTAGAAAGAATAGGTTTATTTTCTTCTTGATGTTGAATATGCTGATATTTAAAGTACATGGGCTCAGCTGACACACCAATGAATTTTTTGTGTTTTTTTTCATGAAGTCCTATCTGTATGATTAATATTATTTATGCTATGACACCGAAGTGGCTGGGGTACACTAGAGTACTTAATGGACGTGTTTGCAGTTGGGTGCCTACTGCTTTTGAGCCCTGCATGCTCACGGCACGCCTCTCCTCCTGAGCGAGGGATTTGTTTTCACGCAGACCACTCAGACAAAGCAGAGAGAGCTGAAGCCCAGCTGTGGGGAGTGGCTTGCTCCAAGGCACATGACAAGTCAGTGACACATCTGGGAATGGAGCTAGGTCACTTTCTTTTCTAATTAATTTAGGGCCTTCCATTATCTGATGCTCAGTGGCTGAACCTGGGGAGCCCTGTGGAACTTATGCCTGGCTGCTATGCAATATGTCTCAGGCTTATGCCTTAACTGACTTGAGATATTGCAGTACATAACCCAGTGTTCCTCTTACAGCAACAATAGGAGATTACTTATTGAAGCCTGTCTGGTTAGGCTCTTTTGTGCTTCATAAACTAAGTTAATAGAGCACAGCAAACCTCCACTTTTATCATATATGTGCAAATTATTATGGCCAGGATGTAACAATTAGAAAAAAAAAGTTCCAATTTGTTATTTAAATGAATAGCAGACATACTAGAGATGATTTATATAGCACTGTCAGCCTATGATTTACATAGCTCCAATTAGAAAGAAAAGTGTGGGAGGCAAAAAATTTCTGTGGTAAAACAAGCCTGTGTACTAGATGTTAAATCATTAAATTAAAGCAGGGCCTGAAAACTGTACCAGATGTCCTGCCATCTGAACAACCCAATCAGACATGTATTTAAAACAAACAAACAAAAAAGGAAAGGTGAAAGATAATGCACTCAGTAGCCCAGCAGCTTTTCAGTGTGACCCAGACTAACTCTCCACCCTGTCTGTTCTATGGGGAAAATGTGGGCCAGTGGCATTCCTGCCAGGAAGCTGGATAGCACTCAGGGAGGGATCATCCTTCCCTCTTATCTTCCAGATTGTTGATTCTTAAGTACATTTGGCTTGTAAGTGTCTATGTGCATTTGAAGACTCCCTTTCTCCTAATGTGTCCAGCTGGTGAAGTTTTTTTCAATTAATAGTGCAATTAACTTCAGCTCTCAGCTTCAAGGGATCTGTTGTCATGCATGGTGTTGTGTATTCTTCCTGGCACCTGGACACACATTGCCCAGGAATATCAGTCGGCTTTTATGCTATGTGTTTGAAACCTTTCTGGTATTAATTATATCAGGTTTTTCCCTAAAAAGTGCATTAGAAAAGTGAAATGGTACCTAGTTCTGTGGGTGTCACAGTGACCCAGTCAGCTCACACCATCCTCAGTGAACATGGAAATCCCCTGCACTCATTTACTGCTGGTTTTGCTGTTGCATCAGACAGCAGGGCAAAGAGGAGTCCACGGGTTTGCTTTCAAAACTAGGCTTTCATGTGCACAAGTGCTAGAAACTTTTCCCCCTGTTAAATGAAAATGTAACTTCGGTAGCTATGAGGAGACTGGTCTGCTCCTCAGCTCACAATAAACAACAGGTAAGATGGCAAGGTATTTTTCAAACTCTGATGGAGGCAGTGTGACAAAATAAATAGCAATGCTAACAGTAGCAACATATTAACAGTAAAAACCACAACTGTTTAGCAGTCAATCTTTGTTTGGAAGTTATATCTTCCAAATGATAACTAATAACTAATGTAAACACTGTCATTTTTGCTACAGTTACTCCTGCTGACTGATGCTGTTTTATTGTTTCCTAGTTTTTTCCAAAGTATCCCTATCTGCCTATCATCACCTGTATTTAGACTGTAGGGGTTTTGGCTAGGGACCTTTATTATCAATGTAAAATTTATATCATCTGAATCTTCATCTGTGGCTGTGACTGTTAGCCACTGGGCTAATATGTGGCGTAATTAATGGTATTAAATCTGAATCTAAAAGCTAATCTGGTAAAATACTTGAAACTATTTCTATTTTTTCTTTGCATTTTTTGTAACAGTGGTGGTGCTTTTTGTATTTAGAATAAGATATCCTCAGGGCATGCTGCCACTATTTAAGCAGAATAGCCATAAGAGAACTTTCAATCCCCCATCTGCTCAGCATTCAAATCTGTACCCAGACTGACAAACCAAGGAGATATGAGGCACCATTTCAAATTTGTGTATCTTGAGGGTGCTTGTTTAGGTGAAATTCTAAAAATACTGAGCCAGAACAGTACCTTAGAGATGGGATGATGGCTCAGAGACTTGACCAGCTTTCTCTTTTAAATCACAGTGGCACAAGAGCTAATTTGACAAAAGCCTTTTCTTGTCCAAATGGTGAGGAGCTTAAAATACAGACTGTGCATTCTTTATTTGTTTCAGACCTTCAAGAGACATATGGCTGAAATTCAAGCAAAGGAGACTTTCTATTTATCTGTTCCAGTTCACAACCTGAGAGGCAGATTCACGCCATTCAGTCCTAATTCTCAAAATTACTTCAAATTTCTTTCTTTTAGGGAGGACATGACAAACAGCCATAGAGATAGTAGGGTAACTCTGCTGAATCAGATTATCTGTTATTCAGGGCAAAAGTGAATTGACTGGAACCAGAATCTGGTTAAACAGATGATATGGCTGATGCCACTCATCATCAAGGGCATAAAGTATTGAAAACAGCTGACACAGCTGAGTTTGACATGAGACATCTGTACCCTGCATTCTCCCTGTTTCTTCTCTTCATGTTGGCCTGGTAGAGGTCACAGTGGATGCATACAAGAGGAGCATAGACCACTTAACTTAGAGGTAAAGGTGAAAGGTCCTGGTGAAGTAGTACCAAGAGTTGACAGCCATGTCTTCCAGACTGTTTTCCCCAGAAATCCTTGGAAATATGTTGAATCTGTTCATGTCCCACAAAAAACATCTCATATGACTTTTCTTTTCTGTAGAAGGGAAATTGCTGCCACTGTTAAATTACAAGAGAGTGGGATGCTCAGTAAGTTGTTTGAGGTCTTCTGTTCTTGACAAATAAAGACCCCAGTGAGGCATTTCCCTCGAAAGCTGTGTCACTGTTGGGGTAGAAATGGTAGCTGTCCCAAAGCATTTGAAAGAATCAGTGTCAGTGTGGCTGTTAACTTGTCACACCTTCTCAGGCTCTATTACTTTCAAGTCAACCTGAATAAAAAATTTTAAGAGGTAGCAGAGTATGTCTTGCACACCAGTCCCTGCTTCAGTCAGTCTCAAACTAGCACTCACATAAAAGAGGAATATTAAGAGTGCATTATATATGTGATAACATATTTCCAGCATTTGTTACTCACATTAATAACAGGACTAAAAAATTTGACCAAGTTTTCCACTGAATTAAGCATGGCTCTATAAATAGAAGGCATTAAATACATTTAAATTAACTGTGAGTTTTGATTATCCTAGCAATTAGTAATATCTTGCTAGCTACGATATGTCCAATAAGAGTCTTTAAACAAATGAATGCAACAGGATTTAGCCATAAATAAATTAGGATTTATTTATTCACAGCAGAACTTCAGGCTGCTACAGAACATGCACTGCAGCCAGTTGGGCCCAGCACACCCCACATATCTGACAGCACTAGGGCAAGTCATTAGAAAACTGGTGCCAGGGCAAAATGTGTGGCTTGCTGTTCCTTAAGTACATGTTTTTACTTAGCACAGATTGGTAAGAATAAAACGAACCATCTTCCCCTCCAACTGTACACCATAGTCTCTTCAAATTGAAGGCTAATATTTTCTTTTTTTTCTTTTTCTTCAAAGTAGAAAGGCAGTCAAAGCTGCCTTGGACCAAATATATTTCACACTCACTAGCTTGTTCTGTTTTTCTCACTTTTGACTGGTCGTATTTCTGTATCTGTATGGAATGTAATTTCAGTGTGGAACAGAAGTTTCAGCAACAAAATACAGAGTAATTTTTTACATCTTATTTTTATGTAGGGTTTTGATTTCCCCAAAGTCCAGCCAGAGGTGGAGAGTGCTTTATGGCAGAGCCTGCGCATCCTAGTGGTAGCAGTGAGGTGAAATGTCAGACAACATGGGGCTGGAATGGATTAAAAAGATGAGTCTTTACACAAATAACTCTCTGCTATGTGAAAGCTTCTGTGCAGTTTCTTCAACCAAAACCCAAATGGGTTTTTTCTTGAGCTGCTTAGCTGATACTTTCAATACTCAGCATTTTGCATCACCTGAGATTTCATCTACCACACCAGGTTTAATTTCTGGCACCTTAGCATGTGTTCGGAGTAAAAGTAAATACTCACTAATGGACTTGTCTCTCTGGTGCTCTGCACTGTACTTAAGTAAGGAATTGAAACCAAGAGAAGAGATCCAGTACAGAGTGAAGAATAGCTCCTTTCTTCAACTAATTGCCCTGAAGGGTATTTGAGGTGGGAAGCTTGATTGTTAGTGCCATGTCCCTGTGTACTCCTGACGTAGCTTTTTAGACTTTGAGAATAGTTCAGGTACCTCCCTCTGGCAGAAAGCGTTCTTGATTGCTTTTAGCTGGACCTGTTTTGTGCAGAGCTTCTCTTTTATTTTCAGTGAGTAAACATAAATATTATTGTTGTTGTGGACTGTATTTCTTACACTAGACCTACAATAGGAGTTATGGTGGTAGTGAATATGCCACAGATTTGTGGAGACCCAGCCCTGTGACTCTTATTTACTCTCTGTGGCAGCTGAAATCCTGTTCCCATTGCTGCCTGACAGTTTTCCCATTTACTTAAGTGAATTAAACACATGATTTCTGCTTACGTGTATACGTCTTGTATTGGACTTTTAGGTATACATAAAAAAAGCATTTTTAGGTCAGTCTTAGAGAGCTGGCTGGCCTTATAAATAAAGAATCTTTATGTCTGATGCACCAGATTTCTAGCAATCTTGTGCCACTAGGAAGCTGTTAATCCAAGGCATGTGAAGTCTCCTTAAACTCCTTAGGGAGGACAGTAGAGATGTACATCTGGAACTTGGGACCCTTATTCCAGGACAGAATGTAGGGGTCTGCACTGTGGAGCCCTTCTGGAGAATAGATCTTTTGAATGGGACAACCTAAATGTCAGGTAGGGTTGAGGCTAATTTTAGAGTTTAAACATTTTTAATGTCTATTCCTTGTGTGAGCTGTGGTCAAAACTGTCCTCCGACCAAGGCATTCGAAACTTCCTGTAAACCTTAGATCTCATAAAAGTAAAGCATTAGAAAAGAGTTAAATCTCAGAAAAGTTCAAAGGAGTGAATATGAAAAATTTTATCCCTGTCAATCAAACAAAAATAAAAAAAACAAAGTATCTCCAAAATGAAAAGAAGAATTTTGTTTTTATAAAATTACTTTTAATGCTTCCCCTTTTGTTTTCTGGAGAAAACATACTTTCTCCTGTTCAGACATTAGGAGAGTCCTTTATTGATCCCTTTCCTATGAATGCATAGGAATGAAGTTCACTGAATTTTAGTTGGCTAAATAAACAAAGATGGAAAGATGGGAGGAGTCAGCTACAACAGATTAATTTCATTTGTGCTATTTGCTTTTGCAGATATTTTCAAAATACAGTTCTGTCCACAACAAAGCAGTATACTCATTGTATTAAAGCAAGTCAAATGCAGTATAATTTAATTTAATTTCTAAGTAGGCACACATGCTCTTTGCTACATACGCAGAATGGTGAAGAATTCTCTAGGGGACTCACAATTTTGAAAACCTCTGTTTGATGTCATCACGGAAGGCATTTAAAGAGCTTTGCTTAAAAATATCTGTACACTGAATATTTGACTCTTTCATTTCTGGAATATTTGTATTTCTGATATTTTACAGGTTTAACTTTCTAGTGTCTCATTTGATATTGTGTGTGTGGACTGGCAAATTTATGTCTGTTTTGGTAACTATTTATAAAATCCCACAATCCTAGAATGTTTTAGGTTGGAAGGCACCTCAAAGATCATCCAGTTCTAACTCTCCTGCCATGAGCAGGGGCACCTTCAGTAGACAAACACCTCAAAGCCCTAGTGTGTGTTACCTTCTGCTTTTAAGATCCTTGAGTAACCAGCCTTCTGTACTTGTGGAATTAAGAGAAAAAATTACACAGAGAGTAGGATAAGGAGAGCATGTGGAAATTCCCAATTTTAGTTGATAATTTTTTAGGACCTATTATTTCATTTGGTTAGGAAAATATAGGAGGAAACTTTGTATCTGCACTTCTAGTATTAGTCTCAGGTTTTGGTATCATGATTTTAGAAAAATACAATTTGTGTAGAAGTTCTTATACAGACAATGCAATTATTTTTATTAATGCAATTCCACATAAAGATACTAAGGCAGCTTAGGATACTACGGAGAAGTTCAAATGCGTTTTTGATGTGTTACATTCTTGTAGTTTGTTCTGGCTGGCTGATGGTCTACAGGTACATAATCCTGCTCCAGAAGATGAGCTCAAGTAATGGAGCGTTTGAAGATTTCCCAGCTTTAGGTGCATCTGAGGGCACATTTGCAATCTTTGATTTAAACTTTTGACAAAGGGAGACTGGTCAGAACTTCCCCACCGCTGTGGTTGTTGCTCCTTTCCTAACCAAATCTCTTCTTCCCATTCTCAGGTACACGCTGGTGGATATTCTGCGTGCCATACTTCTTTCTTTAGAAGCCATGATAGAAGACCCAGAGCTGCAAGTGAATGGATTTGTTTTGATTATAGACTGGAGCAACTTCACTTTCAAGCAGGCCTCCAAGCTCACACCAAGCATGCTTAGATTAGCCATAGAGGGCCTTCAGGTACCATTATTATTTTCTTTCTTTTCCCAATTCTTCTTCGTTTTGCAGTTCATTACAAATCTAGGTTGATAAAAAAGACCGAAGCAAAACAAAATTCCAACAACTTATGAATAGCAAGGCTATTAACACCTTAACGTGTGGGTGTACAGGCAAGCTGCTTGTGACAAAAGTGTGAACTCAGTCAGCTAACTGCAGTAACTCCTGATGTGTAGGCTCTTTCCTTGCTATAAATATGAGGTAATTTTTTTGTCTTTGTTCCAAAGTGCGTGTCTTTCTGTAAATTCAGATGGTAGCTTCTGCAACAGGAAGTTAGAAGCAATCAGTTCATGTTGTAATTATGCACAGGGCTAATGAAATAGGGGTTGCTGATGCCGTGCCAGGTTGGTTTTTTTTTGTTGATTCTTTTGGGGACAGGGTCTAGATCATTTGTCATGAAAGTGTATGGCCTGCGATTAGCTGGGACTATTTATTTACTCAAAGTTCAGCATGTGCTTGGCTCTTTTTCTGGGTCAGGATTAATCTGAGCAGCGGCCTCTGGGATTGAGTATGCAGTGATTTAAATTCTTTTCAGCTCATTGTAAATGCATTTTACATGGCACAGGCACATTGGTGAAAAGGATACTGTGTAACTCGCATCTCTTTCCCATGGTATTTTATTCTTGTTAAAATGAGAAACTAAGGTACTTGTTTTCTACACAAGCCTGAGTTGCCATGCTTAAAAATATCTAATTCACTCATGTGGCAGTGTGCCTTGCTTTTAGAAGGACATGTATTCCTTTTCTGTAATGTTTCTATAATTTATACATTTTTATTACTCATAAAGCAAAATAACAGCCTTGCCTTTGAACTTTTTTTCACTGTGATAGTGAGATTTCTGAAGAAACTTGTGTAGCAGTAATACGGAGTTTTGATCGAACTGATGAAATGGCTCAACTAGTATTCAGCCTGCTGTTGCACACAGAAGGGTAGTGACATGAGACAAAGATCTCAGGTCTCATTTTGTTGTGTTTCCTTATGCAACAGTGTGATTTCATCATCTTCTCAACTATCATCGAAGGCAGCAGAGAGACCTGTGCTCTAGAAGAGCTGCATTTCTTTTCATTGCTTTCGAAGTTGCTTTCTTTTTTGTGCTTTTTTCTAAGTTAGCCATTGTTTACTGGTTTAGAACATGAGCAAATGCATTAGTAGTCTTTGTTTTCAAATGGTGGTGCTTCTTCTTGGGCATTATTCAGAGATGGTTATTTTGAAGAGAGCTGCAGTGAATAATTGCATCTGAAAATATGAGGGGTGAGCTACCAAACTTCAGGTGGGCTCTGAGACTCAGCATTCTCCTGCCATTGATTGTTCATGACTGAATTGAGGAGAAGTCCTTTGGCTTACTTAACTTACCCATCACCCCAGCTTTGTAGTTTCTAATATTCCAAGGCTGATGGTGGCCAGCACGTATGGCACCATTTTGTGCCCACTGCCTTCAGTACTGTTTACTGCAGAGATGCAGAAGTGGGCGTGAAATACTTCAGAAGAAAGAAGGAAAAGGCATTTTAATGACTGCCTTTTATTTTGGAGAAAAATGCATAGCGAAAACATCATTCATTTGATGATGTCAAAGTAAAAAGTGCTTAATCAGGTAGAATGAAAGAGAACCAGAAAAACACAGACACATTATTTATTTATGATTTTTGTAAATACTTTCTATTTAATCAGAGAAATGAAATTTGCTTTGGCTTATAAGATTTAACAGGGCTCAAGATGCTGAACTTTACCATTTGAAGAATTTAAATATTTGGGTTGCTTAGGCAGAAGAGGACAGTGAGAGTGGGATTAGTGACCACTGAATTTGATGTTAACCAAATCCCTTTGCCCCCTGAATGAAATCTACTGAATTTGCCTTATATTTGCTTAGCTTCCATAGTGAGCAGAATACTCAATATGATATGTACCAAAGGCTTTACAAGCTATGGCATTTTTTGGCTTTTCACAATGGCCTAATGTTTAAGAAATTGCTTTTGAAAGTAAGAGAAGTAAATATACACTTTTCTACTGTATGGAAGAAGATGAGTTCTGGTATAAACTTTGTCTGCATATGTGTTAAATGGGAGTGTGGAAAGGACAATCATACCCCAAACTTACTTGTATAAATTAGGAAAACTTCCTCGGTAGCTGTTTCCAGGAAAAGAGACTTTTGATCGTGACACTTACAGGACAGTGATTGTCTGTAATCTGATGTGAAATTCTGGCATACCATACCCATCACAACAGTGCTGTACCAAGCAATTGGTGCAGTGTAGGTCAGCGCTGATTTGTAGGACAAATGGTTTTGGTAGACAAGGAAACTTTATGTGGAGGTGGGGGCACTCAGCTGGGACTCTTGATGCTCCACTCCTAGCTCATACACTGGCTGTGTGCTTTTGGAAAAAAGAAACAACACTCTTCCTTGCAGATGCTTGCGCCTACAGCATTCCTGTTGCTCCTCATTGTTGAGAAAGAGAATTTGCACTTAGAGCTCCTACACTTTACCTAGTTTAAAGACAGAAGGAAATTATTTTTTGAGAGCTGGAACATGCCTTGACTTTGTGTTGACTCTCCCTACTGCATTCAGTATGTGGATGTTTGTGAGTTCCAGTCTTTAGGTGCCCACTTTCCCCCATTCATTGATTTCTGTAGCCAATCACTGATTTTGGGCTTGTGAAGACAATCATGTTACTCAGCAGCTGTGCTCCTGAAGACAGGTGTGGAGGGATAGAATGTAAGAAAATAAAGATAGTGCAGAAGGTTTTCTCACCCCTGAGGAGTTGCAGCTGTGCTAATCACCAAAGATCAGGAGCAGGCCTGCCCTTAACAGGCCACAGCTGTGTCCAATAAGAAGACGAGTGCTACAAAAGAGTGGGTTAGCTGGGTGAGGAGAGAGTTGGAGTTTGTTGGCTGTGCTGTGAAGAAAAAGGAGTCAGTGCTGTGAGGAGATGCCCATTAGAAATCAATGAGATGGTATGGAAGATATGCAATACGATGGCAACAAGCAGGGAATGTTACAGCATTGTGTGCTTCAATATCTGTTTGCCTCATAAGGTCTCTTTCAAAAACTTTACAAAATTTTGCCTCCTTCACCAGTAATGGGTTGCAATCTGTGTGCTTTAGCTATTTTTCCCATAGAAGAGAGAACTTTTAAAAGCTCTGAAGAAAACCAGTCCTAAATTTCTGTAGATGGTGATGAACTCTGAGCAAAAAGCCCAGAATGTATCAGATGGTTTCTGGATAAGGAATAATTAAATTGGCTAGAATTCATCTGGATGGAAGAAGAAAAATTGTAGAGGGAAAATACAGAAATCTGTAAAACCATAGAATCATTCAGCCTGGAAAAGACCTCAGAGGCTTGGCAAATCTAACCTCCTCCTTAAAGCAGGGTCCCTTATGGATAGGGGTGGGGAGGTCAGACCAGGATGCAAAAAAGATCATGGGTGGCTGCAGAGAGTGGAAAAGCTGCAGTTATTTGTTATTTACATTTTAAGAAATGAGCATCATCAGGTGATACTAGGAGGAGGCCTGGCTCTTTGTAAAACACCTTTGTGCAACATCTGGGTAACTTGTGGATCTCTCTGCCATAAGGAATTCTGGATGCTTAAATAGCTGTTTTTAGGGAAAATGAAAAGAGAGAAGAACTGAGGATTGGTAAATATATAAAAACCAAATCAAAGTTCAGAATTCCTTAGGCTGTACAAAGTTGGAGATGAGGTGGATACTGAATGGAAATAATCATATATGTTGTCCAAGTTGTAGCTGCTCTAGGCTCTCTGTTTTGGCCTCTCTTAAGGACAGGATATAAGGCTAGGTGGACTTTTGGTATGGCATGATTAAATCAAGTTTTTTATATTCCACTCCTTTGCCCATTCTGAAAACCTGCCTTTTGTTTTACTGTTTCTGGCACTGCCCTGATGCCTGCTACCAAAACACCTACCTGAGAACTCCTAGGAAGGAAGAGGGAGGGAGTTCTAGGTATATTATTTTCTTGGTGATAGTTCTTTTTTTACATAAACCTCTATATGGACTTTTAAAAGCTTTTTTATTTTAATTATTAAGACAGCAATCTTTTCATAAGGCAGGTGAAAACAGTTTCAAAGGCTGAAAATTCAATTTGAGAATTATATTGAAAGTTGGAATTATTATGAACTCTGATAGACAGCTTTGGGGGTAATTATAATTGAGTTTTGCAAAATGGAACACTATAGATATGCATGAATTGCATTAACTGATATTTAGTATTCTAAAACCTGGACCACTAATTCCTCCTTAAATATGGATTTCTATTTAGTGCATAATAGTAGTTGCATGCATGACAGATTTTTTTTCATGCATGTTTTTACTCAGGCAGGCTGTACATCTCAATGCTTTGTAAAAGTGTGTAGTTGGCTGAAAATGAATGCTTCTCCTCTAGTTAAAAAGCTGGTGGAAAAGAGATGATACACATTTAAATGGGGAGCTGAGCATACGTGGACAGTCAGCATCATTGTAGAAGACAGAAGACTCTTACTTCTGGGACAAGGGTGTTTGGGAGAAACAGTGATGGTGTTATGGGGCACAAGGCAGGTCTTTTAACTGTGTCCTTTTTCTTTTTGTAACAGAGGAAGGCTTCATAAGCTGAAACAAACTCAGTCCTGTAAAAATGAAAGCAAACCAGAAAGTAAATGAAGGCAGCATCCTTGCAGCTAGAATTGCTTTCAAAACCGTCTTTCACGCAGCTGTTCTTGTGAGCTGTAGGAACAATAACCCCAGCCAGATTTGCTGCAGCAGTGCAAGGTGGAAGTACCAGACACAGACCATGTACAGGCTGGTGATGACAGTGACAGGACTTGCTGCTCCCATTTTCTTTAAGTGTGAGCTCTATCACAGGGTCTTGTGGGGAATCTTGCTGAACATTAGGCTTGGTTCAACCAGCACAGAGTGCTTAAACTTTGCCACCTGGTTCTGGGCTACATCTATGCAACCAGCCTGCTGCAGTGCCAAGA